CAATCCTAAGCCTAGCACAAAGATCGTGTAGTTCGTATGCTAAAGCTTTTCTAATGTCAAGTATCATTTCCTTAGACCATGAGATTGTGTAACTCCCGGATATCGTAGGAATGCTTTGGGTATACCAAACGTCACAATGTAACTGGGTGGCTATAAACGTGCACTACGGGTATCTCCGAATGTGTCTGTTGGGTTGGCACGAATCGAGACTGGGATTTGTCACTCCGTGTGACGGAGAGGTATCTCTGGGCCCACTCGGTAGGACATCATCATAATGTGCACAATGTGACCAAGGGGTTGATCACGGTATGATGTGTTACAGAACGAGTAAAGAGACTTACCGGTAACGAGATTGAACAAGGTATCGGCATACCGACGATCGAATCTCGGGCAAGTACAATACCGCTAGACAAAGGGAATTGAATACGGGATTGATTGAATCTTCGACATCGTGGTTCATCCGATGAGATGATCGTGGAACATGTGGAAGCCAACATGGGTATCCAGATCCCGCTGTTGGTTATTGGCCGGAGAGTTCTCGGTCATGTCTGCATGGTTCCCGAACCCGTAGGGTCTACACACTTAAGGTTCGATGACACTAGGGTTATAGGGAATAGATATACGTGGTTACCGAATGTTGTTCAGAGTCCTGGATGAGATCCTGGACGTCAAGAGGAGTTCCAGAATGGTCTGGAGGTAAAGATTAATATATGGGAAGTCCTGTTTTGGTCACCGGAAAAGTTTCGGGTGCTATCGGTAACGTACCGAGACCACCGGGAGGGTCCCGGGGGTCCACCAGGTGAGGCCACTGGTCCCAGAGGGCTGCGTGGGCCAAGTGTGGGAGGGGACCAGCCCCAGGTGGGCTGGTGCGCCCCCCACCAGGGCCCAAGGCGCCTAGGGTTGAAAAGCCTAGGGGAAGGGGGCGCCTCCCCCTTGCCTTGGGAGGCAAGGCAAACCCCCTGGCCGCCGCCCCCTCCTCAGATTGGATCTGAGGGGGGCGGCCCCCTGTCCCTTGCCCCTATATATATGTGGGGGATGGGAGGGCAGCCGCACCCAAGTTCTGGCGCAGCCCTCCCCCTCTCTCAAGTCCTCCTCCTCTCCCGCAGTGCTTGGCGAAGCCCTGCAGGATTGCCACACTCCTCCACCACCACCACGCCGTTGTGCTGCTGCTGGATGGAGTCTTCCTCAACCTCTCCCTCTCTCCTTGCTGGATCAAGGCGTGGAAGACGTCACCGGGTTGCACGTGTGTTGAACGCGGAGGTGCCGTCCGTTCGGCACTAGGATCTCCGGTGATTTGGATCACGACGAGTACGACTCCTTCAACCTCGTTCTCTTGAACGCTTCCTCTTAGCAATCTACAAGGGTATGTAGATGCACTCCCCTCTCTCTTGTTGCTAGTCTTTTCATAGATAGATCTTGGTGACACGTAGGAAAATTTTGAATTTCTGCTACGTTCCCCAACACCTGACATATCAAGAACAGCCTCAAATTCTGAAGAAGTGAGGCATACACAGGGGGTAGGTATGCCAATCATCATATCCTCACAATTGATGTGGACTTTTTCTCTTGCCAACTAAACTGATAACTTTGTGTCATCTATTAGATACGGGAGGTAATAGGACAACACCAAAAGTACCTCTTCTCGAGTTCCATTCTCGGTAGTAACAATCTGGGAGAGAGAAACCATATTATTTCTATTTCCTTGAAGTATGAAAATACTGCAGTACTGTGAAGGGAAAATTCACAGAACCTAGAGTGCTCACCTAGGACTTAAAAAACATCTACTGCTGCTCAACCTGTCTGCACCATTCTAAAACATCCACTCTTTGCAGCAAAAACAAAAGGAAACCACTAAACTGAGTATTGCGTCAACCACGAAACAACAATCTAGAAAGGTAATGGAATTGAGAGCATGCCCCTATGAAGCTCCCATTTGAACAATTAAACCAACAGCTCCAAAATTGTACATCATTAAATCCCGCTTCCTGCAAGCAATTCATCAAGCACTCCATGAGCACAAAAACTGAAAATATAATTTAATCAAACATTAGATTCCTAATCACTGAAGTGCACAACAAGAGTGCATATGGATTTGAGAGATCTAAACATCAAAATGGAGTGCAACAGGAGAGAGTTGGAAAAGAGTGGGTGGAGAGGATAAGCATACATGCATCAGAGCGTGAATACTGCCCACTGTCACCATTGGTATAGGAACCTCCTTGACATCAAACCCTAGAAATGAAATAATTAAAGAGGCTTTCCTATCTATTTTGTACCTATAGGCTTTCCTATTCTTGTCTGACCAATATTTGAAGTATATGTATGAGAGGCATTATTTAAGAAGATCAACACGCATCACGTTTCGTATAAGAGGAGACAACCATTGCCCAATTGGGCAATAACGATCAGCCTGATATAAGAGGACGATCAGTCTGCAGCAGAGCATGAATACTGCCCGCAGTCACCATTGGTCTTCAGTGGTGGAGACAAGAATACGCAGGCAACAATGATCTGACACATGAAACTAAGCCATTGAAATTGCATAAACAAAATATATAGTTCGTGAGGGTTGAGGGGAGGAGAAATACAGTTGTTGGCATGCAGCCCTAGGACTCCACCAGTAGGAGCTGGATGTCACTCACTGCCCTAGTCCCCCACCCCGTGCACTATCCACGACACCTTGAATCGGAAACACGCCCCTGACCGCACGAACCAAAACCGAATCAAATCAAAATCGCGTCTTCTTCCTCCAAGATCGCATCAGATAGGCAAGCGGAGGAACCTCATAGCACCGAAGGAGAAGACGTGGCGGGAGGACTTGAGAGAGATGGGGATCGTATCGGATCCAAAGCAACATGTAGCCAAGCTGCGAGAAATCCATCGACGGCGGCTCAGATCCCGCGCCGGCCCGACCAATCCCTCGACCGGAACGCATCACGGGCCCTGCCGCTCGGTCCCCAGCCCGCGCCGCCGCCGGACGTCCCCGCCGCATGGGCGGCATCCCCGAGGGGTCCCCTAGCCGGCGCGGCGTGACGGGCTGGCCCCGAGGGGCGGCGACCCGGCGAGCCCGTCGATCGGGAGCCTGGCCGGCGCCGGCAGATCCCTCCATCATCCCCGCCGTTAGGGGAGGGGCGCGGCCCCAGCCGACGCGAGCCGGGTTGGCCACGGCGAGCTGGACGGGCACTGCGACCGGATTCGGTCAGATGCTCACATCCATGTCGCGCCTCCGCACGCAGCCATGTCGCCGGTGGCATCTCGCACCCGGCCGCAGGCGAGTGAGAAGGCCGCGACGCCAGAGGCCGTGCGGCGGAGGGTAAGGAGCAGGGAGGCGGGACGGCATGGAGTGCGTGGGGCTCGAGGAAAGAGTGGATTGGTCCTTTTTCGCTAGGTTTTCGGGAGAGCGATTGGTCGTGGCTCTCCAAGCCGCTCGCTCGCCCTCGCCAATAAGGAACAGCCCACCCTCATCCATTCATTCACGTAGCCCTCAAATGAACCCACCCTCTGCTTGCTGACCCTACAGGCTCACGACCCCACCCCTCATACTCTCTTGAAGCGACAGCCAATGTGAAAAACAACAGACGGTTGACCAGCCGCCACCAGCCAAAATTTTACTGTTGTAACTTCATCGGGCGGTCAAAAATGCCTCGCGAGCACAATGGCCCTGGAACGGCGGGTACTCTAGCGTTGTTTATATGTTCCGATGACTGCAAAGCAGGAGGGGCGGGTCCGGCTGCGTCCGTGGACGTATGACGGGCCGGATTTGCCACATCCGGTTGCTGTACATGCTATAACTCCTTAAGAAACAGTAGACCCCATCAAACCAGCGAACATACCATGTTCCAACCACGCCTAATATTTTGCGAAGTAGTCAAGGAGCGAGAGCAACACGAGCAACATGATCCCTCTAAACATTGACTGACCGGCCTGTTATCCATCCAACCTCCTCTGAGCATATCCCGTTATCCCTATGCTGAAGCAGTCCGGTCACTCGTCAGTGGCAACTCAACGAAACAATCCACCACCGTCGCGCGCGGCGGCAACCTGAAGAAAGTTATACCACTACTACTAGACTGTCTAGACAGTTCGTTGGAAGGAAAACTACCCAAGGAAATGATCAAAACCGTGACGGGAAAAAAGGAGAAGAAGAAGAAAGGAAGCGAAATCAGATAAGCACGCTCCACATAACGGACTGCTCCTCCTCACCGCTGACCGCGTCAACCGGCCGTCCAGGGTGCGTGAACCACGAACGCGCTCCTCCTCCCTCATGTCGGCGAAAGCGATCGGTACCGGAGCAAGTAGTGGAGCAGTAAGTAAATCGGACCCTGGTTCTCAAAAAAAGTAAATCGGACCCCAAGCCTCAGATAATACAACACGAGGCTGTGTATTCGAGCGACATCGAATGCTGATCCAATGGTGCCGACCTGCGAACTGTGTATCAATTCGATCATGCGCATTGGCCACCGTACAAATTCCCCCGTTCACACCGGGGACTGCTTGGAATGTACCAGTACTGGTAGCGTCGTGTGCTAAGTGGAAGCTACGTGAATTACCAAGAGACCTTCGTTAATTCAATTTATAATCCGAGGGGTAAAACTCGCACATTGTTTCACCGCCTCGGATCGTCAGAGGCAGGAGGAAGCTGAAGCTTTTCTTCAGAAAAATAAACGAGAGCATAGAGCTGAACTGGCCTCTGCCTCCCCGTTTGAAACGAACTTCTCATGACGGCTATTTAGCCACGTTTTTTTCCCTCTCCCTTTCTTTCTTTCTTTCTTTCTTTCTTGCTGATTATTAGTGGCACGTACGTAGAGCGGCTGGTGCGAGTGCTATATATGCCAAGGTCGTCCCCCCAGAAATGTTCGAACCGTTGAACGAAATTAAACGGGAGAGAGATAGATCGTACTAGCTCCCAGCCTCACGACGACTCTGCTCTGCTCTGCCATTTGAAAAGAAAGGAGGTGAGGCGCTGTTTTTCTGCGCTGGGCGGGCGGCGGGCGACTTTGATGTGCTACGAGCTGGCGGACCAACGTGGACTGCACGGCAGCGGCGGCCGGACGGTGAAGGGCGAGGGCAGCTCCGGGGCGCCGTCGGGAATGACGACAATGGCGAGCCCGGCGGACTTCATGTCGGGCTACTACCAGGCGCAGGAGATGTCGACGATGGTGTCGGCGCTGTCGCGGGTCGTGGCGGAGGACGACCCGTGGGCGCCGTCCGGCTCCGGCGCCGGGGCGGAGGGGTGGGGCTGGGAGGAGCAGCAGGCAATGCACGCCGCCGGAGGAGGCGGCTACGTGCACGAGCTGGGGAGCTTCCCCGGCGCGCCATCTTCAGAGTTCGCAGGTAACAAACAGTCAACACACGCATGCTATTGAAGCTTAGCTTGGTCGGGAAGAGTTTCTGAGTTTGCATGCTCTGCTTTTGCCTTGGATTTGATATTGCTCCACCGAGCTTCGCACGCTCTACTTTTTTGCCCGATCACATTTTTGCATGCTACTCCAGCTCGAAACGTGTCAGGCATGGGCAAAATCACCTTTCCAGAGTATACATCTTATGCATTCAGAGGTTTTTTTTTTATCGGATGCATTCAGAGTTTCTTTTTTATCTGATGCATTCAGCGGTTTATTACTAGTATCCTAATAAGCTTGTAAAATAAAGGAAATGTCTATATCCGTCGGTGAAGCAAACGAAGTGGCTCACCCCCTAACGAAGAACTCATTTAGTGAAAAAATTTGTATGTTTTGGGAATCTATAATCCCTGATTTTATTTCTCACTATATTGTACTCCCTCTGTTCTATAATAGTATCAAACACGTTTTTGTATTATAGGATAAGGGAGTAAATGATATGTCTGTTATCAAAGGAATAAAATCTGTTGCTTTCAAAAACACACGCTATAGCAACTTTGTTCTACCTCTAGTACAAAGTTATACTAAGCTTGAGACAGTTATTTTGAGACGGAGGGAGTAATATTTTACAAGAATATTTTAGAGGTAAAAAAACTAATATTGGCACCCCGGGTGTACATCATTCGGCTTATAACTTAACTTAAACAAGAAGACAATCGATGAAGTTCGAACCTTTACGTTTCTAGCTCTGATCAGGTCATAAAGAATCGGTGAACACGTGTAGTGCCAGTTTTGGTCAGTGCAGAGCCCTAGGCACAAAATGTGTTATATGAAGAGAGTTATTTCTTGGAAATAATAGAGGAAAATGCGTGCGGAACATGCAAGCGCGCGCGACCATAACAAACTGGTCGTACGGAGGAACGGCGTGTAGCTCAAAGTCGAAACGTCGGACGGAACCGAGGCGCCTGGATTCCTCGTAGCTGACATAAGGAAAATGAAACGAACCCTATCTCTTGTAATCCACTGCTGCACAGTTGTACGCCATTGAACCTAGTCTTGTAATCCACTGCACCTCTGCAACGCAACAAAGACACAGCTAAGTCTTCAGGTAGTACGTAGCATTTCATCGTACATATGTATAAAATACAGTGCATCTTCGTGTCATGTACGTAGGAGTACATGCCAATATGTCATGGATGAGCTTGCGTGACGCGCATACAACAACGAGAATACGGTCGAGAGAGTTCATTTCTTTCCTGAAAAGGCAGTTTTTTTCCTTCATTTTTTCCTCCTTTTGCAACGAAAAGCGGTTCGAATTCTTGAGGTGGTGCTTATCGCTTTGCTGGAAGCATGAATATCTTTTCTCTACTGCTTTCCAGTTCACATTCCTAAATTTAACCCCTCGGTGATCGGGACGGACGCGCTTTATTAACACCTTGCAAATCGCGTTCGGGTGCATGCACATACACACACTGCATGCGCGAGTGCACAACTTGGAACACGCTTGCGCTGCCTCGCTTTGCATTCTCTCTGCTTTTGCTTGGCGCCTCGTCCCCGTGACACCGTATAAATATGCTTCCGCGTCCGTGCGCAGGGTCGGATCAGAGCTCGGACACCCAGAGCGCGAGCGCGAGCGCGGCGACCATGGAGGAACACCGCTCCCGCTCCCCGGCGTCGTCCAACGTGGAGGCGGCGGAGGCGCCGCGCCGGCGGTACCGAGGGGTGCGGCAGCGGCCCTGGGGCAAGTGGGCGGCGGAGATCCGGGACCCGCACAAGGCGGCGCGCGTCTGGCTCGGCACCTTCGAGACGGCCGAGGCCGCGGCGCGCGCCTACGACGACGCCGCGCTGCGCTTCCGCGGCAGCCGCGCCAAGCTCAACTTCCCCGAGGACGCGCGCCTGCACCCGGCCACCGTCGCCCCCGCCGCCGCGCCGGCCCGTGTGCCGATCGCCGCGGCGTCGGCCTCGACGCCCGGCATGTACGCCGGCGCCGGGCCGGCCTCCGACTACCTGCGCTACCAGATGCTCCTGCAGGGCAGAGGCGCCGCCGCCAACCAAGGCAACCTTCTCTCGTTCTACGGCGGGGGCGGCGGCGGCGGCGGCATGTCCAGCTCGTACGGCGGCGGCATGAGCAGCTCATATGGCGGCGGCGGCGGCACCATGAGCGGTTTCCTGGGCTCCTACTACTCGTTCCCGACCTCCTCCGTCTCGGTGGCCACCGTCCCGTCATCCTCCTCCGCGTCCTCTGCTCCGGGCCACTACTACTCGTCGCCGCACGACTCGCAGCAGCACCAGCAGCAGCAGGGCAACGCGGCGGCGGAGTGGAGCTGGGAGAGCGCGCTGGCGCCCTACCCGGGGACGACGACGGCGGCCTCCTGGTCCGACTCGAGCCAGCAGCCGTACCACCCGCCGCACACCCAATAGCGCAGCCGCAAAGCCAAGGCCAAGATTCTGCGCCGTCTCTGGAAGAAAGAATAAGTTGTGTACGGAAGGCGACGGAGACGGGCGCAGCAGCAACCAGCAAGCAGAGGAAGGTTGAGAATGATGGCGTCACTCACCGAGGGGCATGTGTTGATTGACAGCTATGGGCGTGCTCATTTTGTTCGTTCGTTGATTATTAGTTTGGGAGGTGGTGCGGGTCGCCCCGTTTTTAGTACTTTCTGCTTTGGTTATTACTGCAAATTAAAAAAAATGGAAGAGCGAGCTTGATGCTTGCAGATGGGGATTGGATACTTTTGGGGAGGTTTAATCAGAGTCATTTGGGAAAAATAATGAATGTTACGTGCTACCTGGACTTGTAGTGTGTTCTCTGCAAAACATGGCATGGATTAGTGATTCCTAGTATCGATTTTCTTTAAAGAAACCAGTGTTCGAACAAGAAGGGATAGTACTCTCTACCATAATATTATGTCGTTGTATGTAGGGAGTATTATACAGACGCGATCCATTCCACGGCCGGCCAGTGAAAAGAGATGGTGTCATGCTCTGCTACGCTCGGCTTTGATGCCTGTTTGTTTTGCATTTGTGGCGATGCCATTATTTTCCTTCTACTGACCTTTTTGTAGCTTTTGATCGTTCTTATCTTGTTTAACGAATCTATGCCACCATACTCAAACACTCATGTCAATAAATACAATCTTTTGGCTCACATCTAAATTCTTTCACCTAGGAGGAGATACTTCTCACTTTATTTTTTTTTAAACGGAGGCAAAAGTTTTGCCTCGTCTCATTAATTAAGAAGAGTTTGGAAATACATAGACCCCAAAAAATAAGCCTAATCTCGCGGCATTAAAGAACACAGACGCTTAGCCCTTGCCAACCTCCGTAACCCAGCATCGGTCTTAATCTTAGATGTGATTACAGTTGGCAAGGATGACACATTTCTAAATACTCGTGTTTCGCTCGTTCCAAATCTTCCAAGAGACCAACATGACGAGGGATGCAAGACCCTTTCTCATGTTAGCATTGACGCCCACCGTGTGGTGCCACCACTCCATCACGGTGTGGAAGTTGCTCCAGCTAGTGATATCCAGATTGGTCAAACCAATCCAATTTTTGATCTCCCTATGAATATTGAGCATGGTGCACTTCCTTTTAACAATAGTCTATCGACCTTTTTTGCCGCCATCAAATGCACCCCTCAACCCTTGTCAAGACATATTAAAAAGAATCTTGTCTGGAATTGTTTTTGGCGTAAAGAAGAAAAGAAAAATAATTTTTGAGTAACTGGAAAGAAAAGAAAAATACTAATGCAACATTACATAGACTTGTATGGGCCAGAATTGGGCTCAATTATTTCCACATGAGAAAGAACTGGGAGGCTCTCCTAGTGTCGGCCCATATTAGGCCTACGGGAATATGTTCAGCGGCTACATCTTCCTCCTTTTTTTGAAAGGATTCCTTCCCTTTTTCTTGATTTTCTTTGAGCGACTCTCCCGAAAGCAAAAGGTCGTAGGAGCACTAGTAAAGAGCTTCGTAATTAATGGTTGAACCACAATTACCTATCCTTTCACCAGCACTCAAGAAAAACTGTGCCTATTTGATCACAAAATCGCCCGTTTAATCTAAAAATCTGCTCCCCGCAAATAAAAAACTCTAAAAATCTGTGATTAACAGGCCGGGGAGAAGTAGCTGACCTGCCTCAGCCCACCATAACGATGTGGTGGCCGCAGTGGGGCGCATGGAGAGCGACCGTCGAACAGACTCGGACGGGTCTCCGGCCAGCCTCCGTCCGGTCGGACCCGATGGAGCCGACGTCCGTCCCTTCCTCCTCCGTCGCGTCACACTCGCTCGGGCCAGCTCAACGCCAGCGCGTCCAACACGGCGCCAGCTTACCCAAACAGAACCCAACCCCCCACAAAGGCATTCAACGACGCGCTCGGCCGCTCGGGCGCTGCCTCGCTGACGCCGTCACGGCTTGTCGTTACCGCCCTGCGTCGCACAGCAGGGATAGCCGAGGTGCCACAGACCGCCGCGTGGCGGAGCAGGGGGCAGCCGACGCGAACTGGCTCGCGGCGTGACAGGTGGGCCCAGCCTGTCATAGGGGTCTTCGCTTGGACTTTGGACTTGGTGGCTCCGCCACGCCACCGCTTGACGCCTCCCTTCGCTCGGTTGCGGACTCCGCCACCAACCGCTTGCTGCTACTTTCCGCCAGCCGGGGAAAAGGCAGCCGCAGCCGCAGCCAGCGACGCCTCACCTCACCTGACCCCCCCTCCTCGCCCCGCCCCCCGCCGCACCGCCCGCCGGAAGGTTCTAGAGAAGGAGGGACACGCCATGGCGGAGGAGAAGGAGTCGACGTCGGTCCCGCTCAGCCAGGCGGCGGAGGCCGTCGACCCCGAGGACCCGGCCAAGTCGCCGCCGCGCCCCAGCTCGCCCACCACCTCCACCCGCAAGGTCCGGATCCATCCAACCCCGCTACCCCGGTGGCCCAATCGCGCGCGCGTGCCTGTGCCGCTGCCGTAGGGCCCCGCCGCTGCGTGTGCTAGTATTTCGGGAGTTCTGGGCGTGGTTGTGCTTCATATGGTCGGATCTGCGCGTATGCCAACACGTTTCCCGTGCCCGCTCTCGTGTGCGGCGGTTGCTAAATTCAGTCGGCTGTGCTTCTAGACTAGTAAGTACGAGTTTAGCTAGGTTATCGAATTTTCTACAATAGTTCTGGAGATTATTGGGGATATGGATGCTGTTCAGGAGACTGAAGCTGTCTTGAAGCTTTCTTCATAGTTAAGAGTAGTCAGGCCGTTCGGCCCTGGGTTTTGTTTGTCCATTTGTGCCTTGTGGTGGCTTAACTTGAGATATATGCTTAGAACACATTCTCTTATTTGGATACGATTAATTTGTCTTATCTCCTTAGTGTCCAGGTTACTATTAATGAATTTGGATGTGCTGGTGTTCCTTTTCTGAAAGCGCTGTCAACTCGTGGTACTGGGAAGCCACAATTGAGAAATGCTGGTCGTCTATTTGTGCAAGAAGGCACCCGGTAGCAATTTGAGGACTGCGGTGTTGTATTAGGCTGTGTTCGGTTTACAGGGAATTGAAGGGGATTAGCAGAGATGTAGAGGGATTAAATCTTCTACAGGTCGAAATCCCCTCCAATCCCTTTGAGAAGGGATGCAACTGAACAAGGCCCCAAGCGTTCAAAACATGGTGAATGTGTGGGATCATACCCTTATTTAGGTGCTAAGGTAGCATCGAAACATGGGTTTGCACTGCATAGTGCATACTATTGCTGGAAAGAGGTTATGAATGAAAAAAATTAATCAAGATCAGTAAGCTTAATAGGATAGTATATAACTCCGACACAGCTCTCTAATGTTGTGATCTTTCCAATGTTTTACCCAAAAGGAGCTGCATCCACAAGACAGGTCATTTTTTTCATTTCACTAATTTGCTGATGGTTGCTAAATTTTGTGTAGGCATGCTGTGCTGTTCTTCAGAGTTGGGTGTCGAGAAAATTTATGACCGGATGGTACATCCTTCACCAGAAACAAGTTAAAACATGTTACCAATACTATGCTTACTGATCTTCTTTTGTTTCATGTTCTTTTCAGCGTAGTTCTTTTTCCTGTGGCTTTCACGTTCTTCATCACATGGTGGTTCGTTCAATTTGTTGATGGATTTTTCAGCCCACTATATGCAAAACTCGGAGTCAACATATTTGGTAATTCTTGTACTTGTACTTTGGTCGTGCTGTCTATGGTAGTTCTGAACTTACTCCCTCCGTTTCTTTTTAGTCTGCGTATAAAATTTGGTCAAAGTCAAACTTTGTCAACTTTGACTAAGTTTATAGAAAAAAATATCAAGATTCATAATATTAAATCAATATTATAAGATGCATCATGAAATTAATTTTCATACCATATAGCTTTAGTATTGTAGATGTTGATATTTTTTTCTACAAAGTTAATCAAACTTTTAAAAGTTTGACTTTGACCAAATTTTATATGCAGACTAAAAAGAAACATAGGGAGTACTAACTTAGAATTACAAATACTACATTGGAACTTCTAGTTGTATATTGTGTGATTATAAAGGAATATCTAGTAGCATCTCATTCATGCCACCATACACCTAAGAATTGTAGGCCCTTTAGCAAGCAATCATAATATCCAGCTTTATGTTTAAGTAGGATATTATAAGCTAATATTGATGGTATTGGCGACCGCATTCTTGAACAATAGCCAATTTTAACTTAGATCCTCTACTGCAGTAATGATTTTATAGCACTTAAACACGTACTTATATGCTACGTTGCACAGATACTTTAGAAAGTGCGCGCATCCAGCCGGATACTGCCCCGATACTGCCCGATACGTATCCCGTAAGTATCCTGTGATTTGTTAATTTAAAAAGAAGAAAATAGTGTTTGATACGTCTGGGATACCTCTCGGGGTACGTTTTGGATACGGCAACCCCTTCTTTCGACGTGAAAAACAGAAAACTCCTCGATTCCCTCATGGCGCCGCCGCACGTCATCAATTCCCAGCTGGCAGCTTGTCCCCTCGACTCCTTGGAGCAGGCGAGCAGCCGCAGCCTGTAGGTCTCCAACTCTCCATTAATTCTCAGCTCCAATCCTCTCCTCTCCCACATGTTCTTCTCTCCTTCTCACCTTCTGAATTCCAATCCAATCGACGCTGATCGGTCGCCGGCTCGTCGCCGGCAGAAGACATCCATGTCTCCCTTGCAGGAGCTATGTTCTCATCTCCCTCTCTTTCTTTGATCTCTCTTCTCCATCTCCTTCTCTGAATTATGTACGTAGGTGTGAAGACTTCAATTTCTTTAATAAAACAGTATGTTTCCTACCAAAAACTCGTTATTTTTTCATATCTTTAATAATTAATATGTATATACAGACGTATCCCCGTATCCTAGTTTTTAGAAAATTGACGTATCGGGCATATCCCCGTATCGCGTATCCGATACATATCCAAGTATCCGTGCAACGTAGCTTATATGGGACGCAAGTAATTCTCTTCATCATTAAATCATTGTTTATCTTTATTTTTTCACCGACACTTTGCAGGTCTTGGTTTTCTGACTTCTCTGGCATTCATATTTCTGGTTGGAATATTTGTTTCTTCATGGGTGGGTTCAACTGTCTTCTGGGTTGGAGAATGGTTTATAAAGAAAATGCCATTTGTAAAGCACATATATTCTGCATCGAAGCAAGTCAGCACTGCCGTTTCACCAGGTTATACTTCATATCATATGGGAAGCTTGAACATCTATTTCTCATGTCTTACAGACTGCCTTTAATGTTATTTATTGCCATTACGTAGTTGACGTCTCTTGTCATCAGCAATGGACCGATTATTTGTTCTATGCTTACAAATGCTCTTCAGACACTTTGCTGGTAGTTAATACTTCTCTCAGATGGCTTGAATTACATATAAGTGTGCAAACTTAGTTGATGCCTTATCCTGCAAAAACCATGTGAGCTATCTGAGTGGTTTGTCCTTTTTCTAAGTTTTACCCCCATTCTAACTATGTCGTAGATCATTTCTTTGTACTCCTTTTGGTGCATCTGTTTCACAGCAGGGTTATTCTGTGTTGACTTTGTTCTGTTTGTTACAAGAGTATCACAGGACCTACTGTGCATGATGATTTATCACAATATTAATTTTTTTGACAGATCAAAATACGACAGCATTTAAAGAAGTTGCAATTATTCGGCATCCACGTGTTGGTGAATATGCATTCGGATTTATAACATCAACTGTTGTCCTTCAGGTATTTATTTTTCACAAGGATCTTGCTATAGTTTGGTTATAAGCAATGCGTTATTGAGAAGCTTCATTCTATATGTGCCATATATGCTTCATGTGGTAAAATTACAGCTGTTTCATGGTCTCATGTTTTGTGTTGTACTGCAGACAGACAAAGGTGATGAGGAACTGTGTAGCGTTTACGTGCCAACAAATCATCTATATATTGGTGACATCTTTCTCCTGAACTCTGAAGAGATCATCAGACCAAACTTATCCATTCGAGAAGGAATTGGTATGATGTCTATCCTATTTTGCTTTACAGGCTTCTCCCCGTGTTTGTTTCTTGCTGGCATAGCTGTGAGCTGATAATGAAACTTCCCTGAAATCATTCGATCCTGCAGAAATTATCGTTTCAGGAGGAATGACCATGCCACAGGTAATTGCATCGCTAGACCCCATCCCAAGGAAGAGCCAGAGCATCCGCCTGAATAGAATAATGACATGAGAACGTGTGAGTCATCAAAACAATGGGTGAGTAGTCCATGAGCTCAGTTGCTCTAACCATTCTGCTTCATGCTTGCTGATATTGGCTTGCCCATCAAGCAGGTCGCGAATGGGTGGATGGGACTCCAGTGCTGGTCTGTTTGTGCTGTTCGTTTCTTACATGTAAAATGTCGAGGTTGGATACGGGAACGTGATGACCAAGCTGGACGGAAGCATCGTAGTGATGCCCTGGAATACTGTTATGTGACACATGTTGTTTTTCTCTGTTTGCTGACTGGTCCAAAGTGTTAACTTCGATGCACCGGTGGTGTACAACTAGTGTGCCTGATTACATTCATTTGTAAGAGTGTGTCGTGTAATACCATGTCGACTTCGTTACTATAGTATACATACCATGCTGACTGGTTTCTTTGTGAGCGTCTCTTTGTTTCATGGTCTGCTGTAATATACTCCCTCCGATCCATGATAAGTGAGTGTCGTGGCAAAAGAGCATGAACGCTGCTTATTATGAATCGGAGGGAGTAGTAAAAGAGCATGTGCATTTTGCTGATCCAGTTTTGGTTTGGAATTCTTTACCGGTGATATAATGATTTAACTTGCTAGTTTTGGAGTGTGGATTTAACTTGCTATTTTTTGTGGAGTTCTGTATCATTGATATAAAGTTTATTTCACAAAATTGGATCAGTGAGATTTAGTAATATGAATCTACAACATTGCATAGTATTAGACGTACTTTTTTCTCAAAATATTACTGTTAATTATAGAAGTCTCACTGGTGACAGGTCCATTTAGGTTGATTGAAAAACGTTGTCTCATCTTACCGTCTTCCGCTTTTCGACCAAGGTTGGCAAGCATTCATCGTAATTTATTTTTGTCAAACTTGCCCTGCATCCATTAAAACCAGGAGCCAAACGGCTCGACAGAGAATACAGTTCGATCTACAACACAGGCCACAAAGAAATAGAAAATTACAATCAGACCCTACATAAGGCACACACGCTTTTCAAAATCAAACTTTGATCATAAATTAGATAAATAATGAAAACATCATTTCAATACAAATTCAACAGTATAATTTATCAGATACAATACACATTCGGTTGGTCGAACTTATGGTCTGAAGAGAGTATGGTTTAAATATCTATGGTCCCAGCGTAATACATTAGTATGTATTATTGTTAAAGATAGTCATTACTAGGAAGAGAAGCAACGACTCATATAATTGCAAAAAAAAATCCATGATTGCAAGTTAACAGGTAACAAAGAAGCAAACCATAGCAGGCTAAAATGGTACAAACAAGCTGGCAGCAGTTTACAACCATCACACAAGATACAGGTGACAATCCTTGGTCATGGCGCAAACAAAGACAGGTCCACATAACAAACTTGAAAAGTTTAGAAAGAAAGGGGGGTCATCACACTTTTTCCAGGAAGAACTGCTATATGTTATGCATCTGGGAGAAAGAAATCCTAATGGTGGATCCCTCGAGCTTGCTCGCATGCTTACAGACCAGCGCTTCGGTCGCCTCTTCCTCGCTCTCAAACTGCACAAGAGCCTGCGTCTTGCCGCTCGCCTCAAACAGCTTTGACTTGATGATGGTGCCATGCTCACCTAGGTGTTCAAGGATTGCGTCCTCAGAAATCTCTGGTGAAAGCGCTGAGATGTGGATGATCTTGGTCGGAGCACAGCAATGGCGGTAGTTCTTCGCCACATTACTGTTGAACCGGTTAAGATTGGAGGTTGAGTAGTCATGTGCATCAGGAGCGGGGGTAATACTCGGGTACTTAGAGAAGTTCACTTCCAGTTTCTGTCCAAGTAACATTGCTCCCTGTAGTAGGAAATAAATTCCAATGGTATCAGGGCGATATATACCACAAACACGTAATGAAGTAGAGCGAATGAATGAACTGAGGTAGGAGTCGAGTGACCACAAAGCACCTTTAAATAGTGTATAGCAAGCTCAGCCTGAAGCCCATCAGCCATCTGGACAAGGGCATGGTCTGGTTTGTTGCGGAGTACCTTGATTCTCACTATATTTCCATAAATAGAAAATAGATTGAAGAGCTTATCCGCATCGATTTTCTGCAGATAAAGGTAAGATAAACGAGATGATTATGATTTGAACAACTTGGAGAGTGCATGGCAAGTTATGTCTTACTTACATCACTGTTCAAGTTGCTAACTATAAGTGTACAGCGATCATTGGTACCAGTCACTCCAGGAGGCAATGTTCCGCCAAATGCAGCAGCAATCACTGCAGCCTGCCCCATCAGATATAGAAACATTGTAGCAGCAAAAGCAAATGCTTTATGTGAGATAATGATATAGTTTAGCGAAGCACAGAATGAAGCAGTAAAAACTAACAGACAGTGCAGAATTGGGACGACTTGAAAAAATACAAACCTGTCCATATGCAGCTGTAGCCCGAAAAAAAAGATTGAAGGAAAGAAGTTAATACACTTTTAGTAAGATGACAAGAGTGAATAATGAAAAATGTGAAGGAAAATTGCAATGCCTTACCTCCAGGCTGTTGGAAACCAAAAAGGCTAGGATCATTATAACCAAGCTGTTCAAAGTAATAGATAAAACAGAGGCTTAATACTTAACTTACCCACTCAAATGATCCAAACAAAAATGCAACAAAAATTAGATAGTAGAAACAATAATAGAAAATAAAACAAAGGAGTAAATAACTACCTGAGAGGATCTTGGACGTTGCTCTGTGGGCAAAGAAGGATTTGTGAAATCTCTGAGGAAGAAGAACAGAAATAAGCGTCTTTCAGAATCTATATATAACAAGGAATAAAATAAACGTATAATTACATACAACATTCACTTGAGAAACCATAATGTGCTGAAATCTGTAATGGATGGAAGCAACTTCTACTAGCTGCTCAACCAAACTAATAGAAAATAAACCAAACCAAAATAAAATAAAAGTAAGTCATCTTACCTAGATCTATCATTGTTGTAGTGAACTTGCAACTCGCTGAGACTGGGAATTCAAGAAAATAAGATCAGGCTCAGGAGTAAAATATTCCAAAAAAAAAAACAGGGGAACTGCTTGAAGACATACTTTGAGTACTGAATATCTAGCTGGCAGCAACCATCATAAATGTTCCGTCCCTGAAATTATTTATTTTGGTGGATGTCAAGAAATTCATAGCAAAAGCATCTGGACATTAAGTTCTGAAAGTTGTATATGCAACAGGAGGCTTACATGCAAAGCACCAGCTGCTTGTATTGCACTCTGGCGTGACTGAAACTGTATAAGGGCTTGAAAACCTACATCACCAAAAATGAGTATTGTAATAGCAAACACGAGTCCTTCTATTCAACATGTGGTAACATATCGATAATTCTAGTGGAAAAGGATATGCTCTACTGTGCTAGGAAATGGCTAGGCTTTTTAAAAATATATGCAGTTGAAAGCAACATGAAAAACACATCACAATTTCCTGATATCTAAGAAGAAAATAAGCATGCATGCAATACAAGAAGAGTGAGAATTAGAGACGGGAAGAATCTGACCAGCAGTCTTTTGAAATGTGACAATCTTCTCCACAAATCCATAAGGGGAAAACACTTGATGAAGCACTTCGACGGTCATAGGATAGAGCATATGATGAACGGTAACTAAGAGAATTCGGTTGGGTTCATCCTGAGGTCCAGCAGCAGACGAGTACCGAGAAAGAATAGAGGAGAGAGAGAGAAGAATGAATAGAGAAGAATAGGTATCTAGTTGGAATAGAAGAGAGTAGAGAGAGCATGTAAACTAAATCAGTAAGCTACAGCAAATGATGAAAAAGTAGGTGAAAATAACAACAATACGAAAAGTTAATACATTTTATATGGAATGACTTATTTTGCTTTTCTTTTAATTTCTTAATTAATCAGTAACAGTAATATTACATGGTTGCTGGCATGAGAAAAGAATATTTTTTAGCAGCACACGATGAAAGGACCGAACAATAAAAATAGATTTCAGCAACCTAGTACCTACTTCATGGAAGACATACACATTATGTCCAAGAATGTATATCACAATGAACAATTCAAGGCTCAAAAGATTCACTAACTGATAAATGGATGCAACTAAACCATCACATGCGGTTGGGTAAGAGCTTATAGGCTTCAAAGTTCTGAACAACGGGCACCTAACTTTCTAATGTGTGATGATCTCTTCTAAGAAAATGATGATTTTTTTTTCTTGCATCAGTACCTCATTACATTGTGCATATAATATTTTTGAAAAGCCAGCTGTTCATTTTTGAACTCTTGGTCATTTAGGTTGGTATATACCGTGAAGCAAGAACCCACGCTCTAAATAGAAGGAATGAAAACAGGCCAATATGTTTACATGCAGAGATCATAGATTACAGAAATGCACAAAACTGCTAATTACCTATAGAAAAGCAATCGTGCTAATAGAGTATAGAACCCAAAGTGCAGCTGGATAATTATGTACCTGATCAGGATTCCGTCCATGAGAGCTCTGATCAGTAGTCAGTTCCTGGTGAGATGAGTACTGCAAGTATACGTTTCTTCCCCTGATATGGCATGAAAACTGACATCACTATCTGATTTTGTAAATTATAATGGAAGCATAGCAACGTTAAGTAAAAAATTAATGGGAGCATAACAACATTAAGTAAGACAATGACATAACTCTCTGCTATTGTGGATAATAATGACAACACACAGAAACATAACTCAAAAAGTAACTCTACAGACAGAAAACGGCTGACACTGAAGCACCAAGAGGAAAATTCTTTAGGATGCACCCACATCAGGTCCAAGAAGAAGATTACCTCACGCTAGGTTGAATTGTAGTGTAGTATTGGATGGCGCTGATTGAAGCAGACAGGTCCTCCATCTGGACAAGGGCCTGCAGTAGCAGCGGCACAAACGCCACATTACAGTCATACAAAGCTGCAAACGCGCATCCTGAAACTAGTGAGAACGGATGAGGCCGAGAGGGCACCTGGTTCTTGGTGCGCAGCATGACGAGCTTGGCGACCGCGCCAAACGGCTGCACCACCTGGAGCAGGTCAGTCTGCACGCAACGAGAAGACCGAAAAAGATCAAACTTTGAACCGGACAACAGAACAATCCGGGCGAGAAATTCCGCCGAACAGCTCTAGAAACTCCAACAGAAAAGGGGGCCAGGATTCACTCACCTCGGAGATCTCATGCCCGACGTTCCGGATGTGGATCACCCTGGAGGGCTCGGCCATCCTATCGTCCCCGACGCAGCAGCTCTAATCGCGCGCAGCGAAACAACAGCAATCCAAGGAAGAACAGATTAGTACACTAGGGTTCGAGAAACAAGTTGGCTCGATCCGTACAGCCGAGGAGACTAGCGCGAGAGGGGCCGGGGAGGAGCCGTACCTTGGCCTGCTAGGGTTTTAGCGGTTGGGCGGAGGATCTAGGGTTTAGCTCGCTGGGGGGATCGCTCGGTAAAATAAGACGAGGGGGGAGGAGGGTGGAGGGGAGAGGGATGGACGGATGGAGAACCGGGGATTTGAGAGGAGCCGGATTTGCTTGGATTTGGGATTAGGTGAGCGCAGGCCTGTTTCTGTTTGACGGGGGCAGAGGGCGAGCGAGCCCGAGAGACCGACAAGCTTTGACGGCTGTACGCACGCACTCGTGGAAGCAAGGGTCCAGTGCTTTTGCGGACTCTTTTTTTTTTTGGAATGCTAGTGCATTTGCGGACTTGTTTGGTTCCATGGGGAAAAAATTCGGTGAGCATTTGGCAGTAAATATCGTGCCCGGCGGTGTGCAACCTGACTCTGGTCGACGGCGAGCTCCGAGAGCATCTCCAGCCGTTCGCCCTCGGACACCAAAAAAGCGCCCCCTAGGACCGAACCGGTGGTAATTTTGGCGTGGGGCGAACGTGTTACCAGCCGCCGCCCCAGTCCGCCCAAAACACGACATAAAATTCATCCAAACTCGACGATTTCATTCAAATTTGTACAAAAACAAAAAACATGATTTAAAACTACATAAAAACGACAACTACGCCTAGCACTACTACGCCGCCGCTGCCGCCGCCTTCTACATGCTGAGGAGCCTGTAGAACCGGGTGTAGTCGTCGCCGCCGCCGTCGTCATCGTTGTCGTCGCCGTCCCTGCTGAACCCCTGACCAGGGTCGCCGACGTGTGGCGGGTTGGACGGCCCGGGCGCGTCCTCGTCGTCGTTGTCGAGGACGACGATGCCACCCTCCTCGCGTCTGCGGCGCCGAGCTTTGATCTCCTCGTAGGCCTGGCGCTGGCGCTCCACCTGCTCGTGGACGTAATTCGCCTTCGCCCACTTGAGGGCGGTCTCGTTGGCGGAGGTCATGTCCTTGTGCTCCTTCTTCACGGGAAGCAACCCCGGCTTGGTATTCGACCGGACGAGGCGGTAGGAACGAGGGGAGGGGCGGATGCCATCGTTGATGACGAGGGCGCCGCTGCAGGTGCAGTGCCCAAGCGGCGTCTCTGGCGGCTCCGGCTTGACGGGGCGGAGCGCCGGCGAACCGGAGGAAAGAGAGCCAGAGCCCGATGACGAGGAGGTCATTGTCTCCATTCTCCACGGCGAGAGAAGGATGGGGCGTCGAGTACTCCGGGCACGGCGTGTTGCCGGCCTCGATGTGGTCGAGGACGGCTTCGAGGGTGCGGCCGGGCACGCCCCACCATTCGCGCCGCCCTCGGAGTTGAGGCGGCCGAGGGGGAGGACGCCGTTGGTGGAGGCAACCTGGTCGATGTGGCGGTGGTCGAAGTACATCGTCCACAGCGTGTGGCTGTCGGCGGCGTACATCGGCTCATTTTGCTTCTCCTCCGACAGGAACGAGCGGATGCGCGCTATCTCGACGCGCCGTTCTGCACCGGTTGGCACCAGGGGCACCGGGACGCCGCCGGCGCTCTGCCTCCACGAGACCGGCACCCGCATGTCCGGGGGCGCCGGGTAGTCGGCCTCGTAGAGGAGACGCGCCTCGTCCTCGCGCAGATAGTGTCGGCCGAAGCCGTTCGCCGTCGCGTCGTCGTCTGGGTAACGCTCGGCCATTGCTTGTGGGCGAGGGAAGAGTGGGGAGGGGCTTCGGTGGTGAGAGGAGGCGAGAGGGGCGTCAGTGGCAAGTTGTGCCGAGAGGGGCGTCGGTGGCGTTCACCGGCGGGGAGGTCGGCTTTTATAGTCGAGGATGGGTAGTGAGAGGCTGCCCGCCGGGTGCCGCGCGGCGGGAGCGGGCGGGACGCACGTCCCCCGCGGCTTCACTACGCCGCCCGTGAGGCATCAATGGAAGGTCGACCGACACGGCAGCGCGGCAGCCTTGGCATTGATTCCCACGGGAACCAAGGCAATGAGAACGACGAAGGCGGCGAGTCGCTGACTTGGCGGGCCCATTCCTATTCGCGCCAAAAACAGTTTCCCCGGCGCCACCAGGAGCCCCCAGCGCGCCGAGTTCAGCCTGGGTCGGCCGGCGCCAAAATCGACCCGAGCCGACGAAAATTGGGCTTCTGGGGGCGCGTCTGGGCCGGCGACAAAAAAGGGGCCTGTTGGGGCGCGGCTGGAGATGCTCTAACTTCGCCGGGATGCTCTCCGCCTCGTGCTCCAGGACACTAGTGGCGTGACGGTGGACACACGTTTCCTTCGGATCAGGGTCAGGGAGTCAGTTGACATTGGGGATATTGTCAACTTCCCTTGCCATTTTGCTAGGGTTTGGGATCCGTTGCAGGTCTCGACCTCGTCGTCTAAAGCGTCGTCGCAAGTGCGCCATGGGGCGGGGGCGGGGCGGCGGTACACGGAGAGATCAACCGGGGTGCATGCAGCCGAGACGGGGATCCTAGGAGGGGGCCCGAGCTCGGGTACGGCTCCAACCATGGCGGATGCGTGACACGTGGGGTGTGATCCAACCGATCATGGGACCGCGAGTAGCTCGGCTGGTGGTATAAATTCCAACCCTTTCCAAAGAGCAAAGTCACGACCTGAGGGTTCAACTATACCTCTAAGATAATCTCCTATAGGCGAATAAACTGAACCAAGCCCTTAGAGAGCAGCTCCCCTCAATGTCAGTAGCCTAGTGATTTCTGCGACACGACGCTTGAAGCCAATGATCTTTAGAAAACAACACTTTGTCCCCTGCACCCGCATGACAGCGCACCAAAATGTGAAACATGTCCTTCACCTGTGAGTCTACCGCCATCGGAAGCCTTGCCATGGTCTTGACGGATCGGTATGGTTAAGACACTTCCATCTCAATCTCAAAGTTAAGCCATGCAAACGGATATCCACTACTCCCCGCCTGCCACGAATTTTCGGTTTACAAACTCTATGCCATGCCACTAGACATTTTCCTCTGTGAATTTCCTCAGAACCCTCCCAAAAAACGTGTGAGACCCTTTATCCACTCCTTCGAGTGCGCAACTGCGAGGATACCAGGAAGTGGGTACTGAACTTGCTCTGTTCAGTTTGGGTCACCTGGTAGTACCATGGCTAGTTACATTATTCTTGAGTGAAAACATTTTTATTTACATGAAGCGTGTAAAATAATTTGTTGTAGTCAATTTTTTTCATGAGTTGAACCGTTTTATTGAATCATTCAAAGTATGATATACTGGCTAATGATAAATTTGTCATCTCTTTTTTAAGATTAGGGATTTGGGGATTCTGGCCCGCCCAGGATTCGCTGCAGGATGCATTCGCTGGTTTAGGGTAAGCGAGAACAAGATAGTGACCCGCCGAAGAAAGTTACCATCATTGCGGCTATCTGAGGCAGTCCATTCTCCTACGAATACCGAGTTAAATACACTCACAGTACCTGTACTCTTCGTATAAACTCACTTTGGTCACTGTATTCTGTCAAACGCAAATTACGGTCATTATGTTAACCTCTGCTGCGCACCATACGGTCACTCGCGTCGAAAACGGCCGTATCTGGCCAGCTGGCATACGCTGACCGCTTTGACCGGTCTATTTTTTGCATTTAGGTCCCTCCACTCCCAACTGCATCGGCCGCGTCGCTTCGTTCCACTTCATGCCCCATCGCGGAGGGAAAAAATGGGGAGCGGAGACAGCGGAGGCGATCGAGGTCGACTAGGGTTTCCCGTCGCGGCGGCTACCATGACCGGCGGAGGTGGTCCGTCGGCCGGAGCGAAAGACGCCGCCGACTCGCTGGATGCTGGAGGAAGCAGCAGCGAGCAGAAGCCCTTCCTCCGTCGACCTGATCATGCGCGGACGCCAGCATACGGTGAGCAATCTCGAGTCTTTTGTTCTTTGAGTTATATCTCAACTCTTTGTCGATTTGTTGTGCGTCGAATCTGTCGATTTTGCTCTGTTAGGGTTAGATGAACGACTTTGCTCTGTTGCTCTGAAATAAAAGAGGGTTTTTGCTCTGTTTTTTGATTTTGCAGAGGAATACAACTATGATTACCCGTGCAGTTTAGGTATAAATCATGGTGGTTTTTTCGTTGGTCAAGGTCGCTACATGAGTTACTGCAGTGGGAAAACAGCTTGGTATGATTATGTGCCGTCTGCAAAATTGAACATGTCTGAATTGGAAAGAATTGTTGAAGATTTAGGGTATGAGATGGCAGGCAGATTAGATGTGTATTGGTGTTTGCCAGGGTTACAAATTAGCACTGGTGGTTTGAGGAAAATGTACTCTCAAGATGCTTGTGATAATATCAGTGCTTGTGTGGTTTTTGGACATAAGGAAATTCAGTTATATCTTGACCATGATCAGAGTTACAGGAACATTGATTGGGATGATGTTGTGGTCTTTCCTGTTAATGAGTTACCTCCTGTGATCAGTCCTAGGAAAGTAAAAGAGGAGAAATTTGCAGAGAGGATGGCTGAGCATAATATGGCAGAGGTGCAAGGTGAATATCATGCAGAGGAGGCTGGGAACATGGAAGATGGGCAAGCTGATGAGCAACAATTCAATGAGGAAGAAATGGAACAATATATGGTAGATGCAGAGGAAGATGATGTGGAACCTGATTTTGAAGAGGAAGAGGAGGAATATGCTGATGAAGAGGATGAGGTAGCTGCTGTGGAAGAGGAACAAGAGGAAGATGCTCAGTCAGCTGTAGATGATGGGAGTATCTCTCATGCTGCAAGAGAAGCTAGTGATTCAGACAATGAGGAAGGCTTTCTGGATAGTGATTATGCTATATCTGATGGAGATGCAGATCTTTTGGAAGATCAAGTTGAAGAAGTGGTAGTAGATATCAAAGGAAAGAAAGTTGTTGACACTGAACTT